TGGTGCTCCCATCTCTTGTATGATCTGCTTGAAGATCTCTGGGTGTAGCATCCATTCTGTTTGGGACGGCTGTGTTGGATGGGACAGTGCGTCTGCGATCACATTCTTGGCTCCTGGAATGTGGCATGCTCTTATGTGGATGTTCAGGTCGTCTGTTATGCCGAACAGTTGAAAGCAGAAGTCCAGGATGTTCGACGATCTTGTTGATCGTTGCCTGTTGATGTAGAACGTCACTGTGGAGTTGTCCGTATGTACCATCAGATGCGCATCCTGCAGAATGTTGGTCCAGTGGAGTATGGCGTTTACTACTGCTTTCATTTCTAGCATGTTGATGTGCAGAACTTCCTCCTCTTTGGTCCATGTCCCAGCTGACACGTCGTTGTCGAGATGTGCTCCCCAACCTTGGAGTGATCGTCCCGTAGAGAGAGATGCGTCGTGCACTCGGCTCTGCTAAATAGGTGCCTCCGCAAACATTCGATCTCTGGGTCCACCAGATATGGGCGTAGTGCGTCCAGGAGTCCGAAGGGTTCCGGGTCGTCCAGATGAGCATTGACGAAGACCTGTAGAGGGCGTAGTTGTAGTCTCCCTCTGACTGTCATGTCTTGCGCTGATGTGAGGAGACCCAACAGACTCTGCCATTGTCGTAGTGGCCACGGAGAGAGTAGAACTTGCCAGATCGTCTGTTGTATCTTGAGCCATCGGCCCTCTGGTACCACTATGCGGTTCTGTGTTGTGATGAACCGGATTCCTAGGAACTGTAGGTCCTGTGTAGGTTCTAGGTCCGACTTGAGGAGATTCACTAGCCACCCCAGTTGTGTAAGCAGTCTGATGGTGAAGTCCAGTTGAAGTCTGAAATGCTTGGGATCTTGATGTACTTGAATCCCGTCATCTAGGTAGAATGCATTGCGTAGACCTCGATGATGTAGGTATGCGACTATGGGCTTCGTCACCCTTATAAACAACCAGGGGGCCGATGATATTCCAAATGGCAGGACCTTCCATTGGTAGTGTCGTCCGTCCAGTATAAACCTCAGGTACTTCCTTGAGTCCGGATGTACAGGAATATGCAGGTAGGCGTCCTGTAGATCTATGCTGGCCATGTAGTCCATCGGACGGACGAGGTGTAGGAGTTGTGGTAGATGTATCATGCTGAACTTTGGTGGTCTGCGTAGATAATCTTTGTTGAAGGCCCTCATATGTTGTAGATTTCTTTGGCACTAGGAAAACTGGGGAGTAGAATCCTGGTGAGAGCTGGTCCTGGTCAGCCACTTCTATTGCTTCCTTCTCTAGTAGAGATGTGACCGCTTCTCGTAGCCTCTCTGTCCGATGGGTCGTGAAGTTGAACTTGTGAGGTTCGTCTGTCAACGGCGGAGTTGCTTGTAGTTGTATGCGATATCAGTCTCTTAGGATGCTGGATACAAAAGGATCTTGAAGAATTCCCCAGTTCTCCCAGTAGGTTTGAAGGCGTCCACCCACTTGTGAAGGTTGTACAGGAACGGCTGGGGGTGGAAGACTCCAGTCGTTCCGAACCCCTCTTTCATCGTCTCTGATCCTTGGCGCCTCTGGGTGCCCTGCCTCGTCCAGGTCGTCCTCTATAGTTGCCGGCTTGGCGACGAAAAGAGTCCTTCCCGCCTCTGGAGGAGCTCATTTTCTTGTCTCTTGCCTTCTGGATGCCTGGGAACTTCGACTTGCCCGAGTAGCGCTGGGACATCTGCCTGATGACACTGGCTAGGGTATCGATGGACTTTATCATGAGGACCTCTCTGGAGTCTTTGGTAAGTTCTTTGGCGACGTCGTCAATCTCCCCTGCGAAGATGGATGGCGTCGACCATGGGGCTGTGTACAGCGACTTCGTGAACGGTTCACTCCAGTTGCAGGATGCTAGTAGACCTTGCCACCTCGCCAACGTCAACCCTGCTGAGATGGATGATAGATGGTCCGTCATAAACTGCTGGTCCTTCTTCTGCATGAGTAGAGCAGAGTAGATCATCCGGTCCTCCTCTGCGGTAGAGTCCTTGAACTTGGCGATGAGCGTCTCGTTCACTGCCCTGGATCTATTCAGGCCGAAGAACATCCTTCTGGTCATAGTCTCTATCTGCGCCAGCTTTTTGTCGTCAATCTTGTAAGACTTGCTCCGGGTGGCATTGATGACCTTGTAGTTATCATCGATGTCCTGCGCCTTCATGAAGGGGTCCATATTGTGTAGAGAGAACTTCTTAGCGTTGAACTGTGGAATATTCGGCGCCTGGGATTTCGTTGCCTTCCAGAAGGCTGCGTCCAAGTTCTCTGGAACCTCCGAGATGGGATCAATTGGCGGTAGAGTGATTGTGTCGACATCATCATCTTTCATCAGGTACGTGAGTGCTGCATATTCTTCATTAGAGGGTTACGCTAACTCCAATCCGTTGGCCATCCAGTATCTGATCTCTGCGTCGGAGAAGATAATACCGCCATCTTCCTCTGTTTCAGGGTAGCTGATCGGAGATCGTTCAACATCCTCCGCTGGGGATCTGTGTGGAGACCTGTGCGGAGACCTGCATGGAGACCTTCATGGAGACTTGCGTGGAGACCTGCGCGGAAACCTGCGTGGAGACCTTCGTGGAGATGAGCCTGTAGAGCTGCGACTGTAGGGCGATCTGCGTGGAGACCTGCGTGGAGGTGAGCGTCTCTTGGTTCGTGAATGGCCTCGGCGAATACCTCGACGATCTGTGAGATGTTGATGATGTCCTTGAGGCTGTCTCCGAAGACCTTCGCGAAGGCTGTTCATCTGCGTAGTCCATGGAAGGCCTCTCCAATGCGTCGTCGGCGGGGGGTCCTTTGTGCAGGTCCGGGTCCTCCCTGCGAGTGGTGTCCAAGGCTGGTTGTCGATCTCTTTCCTGCGCGGAGCGCCTCTCCATCATTTCCATGATCTGTTGAGCGAACTGCTGCATGAAGGCCCCGGGGTTGAATGTCTGCGGTGATAGATGAGCTGCCCTCTCTGCGTTGGTAGTGATATGGTCCAGGGATCACTCATCTGCCGTCAATGTAGATACCTCCGACTGCGTAGATAACTGCGCTGATGTTACCGTTGCTGAGGCCTGCTTCTTCTTGGGGTGATGTATCTCCGGGATGAGGAGCGGCGGCTCATCATAGAGTTCTCTTTCCTCCATCGGAACAATCTCGGCCGAGAAAGTCCTAGTTGTCTGCGCAGACGTCCCCGTAGAGCTGCTCGTCATCTTAGGGGTGCGTGGCCGTCTCTGCGTAGAGGATGTCTTCTTCTTCTTCTTCGTCTGCGATGAAGGGATGTTCGAAGTGGCAGCCCTTTTCTGCGAGGTGGCGGACAACGTCCCACGCCCATCCTCCGAGGACATCCCCGGCGGATCACTGGAGGGAAGAGGGTCATCTGACATCAGTTGACACGTGAGGGACTCAGCCGGCTTATCCATGACTTGAACAAGTTGCCTGGATCTGTCTTTTGCACGCCTAAGTACGCAAAAAATATATTTATTAAATTCAAAATTGGTTGAATGCTGACAAAGGTTGCAGCGAGAGCTGGAAGTACATGGTGTTGTGCAGCTAGGGCACAATAAATGCGGGTCTGCAGCAGCAAACCTAAACCTACAACGAGAACAGGTTTTCATGAAATGTAAACAACTGAACAAACACGGACAAAACCGTGAATAAACAGTGAAATTTACGAATTAATTTCAAACCATATTGTTGAAGGATACTCCCTAAACCCCTATAAAGGTAATGTATAGGGTAATAACTAATAAATGAAAGGATATAGTGCCGTCCACTAGGGCGGAGAAGGAGAGAGTGAAGCATGTGGGAGCGGTGGCGCCACTTTTCCCGTCAAAACGGACAGAGGGATAACTCATGGTGAGTAGTTATTTTACGAATGTTTTTATTGAAGGGAGCTTCAATAGAAGATACAAGTGTTCCACTAACGTTCGCAAGAGGAAGGAGACAAGCAATAAGCATGAGTCAGGATAAGGAAAAATAATGTGTTCATATATGAATTCCACAATCACTTGTCAATGGTCACACTTTGTCATTATATAACAATGTCCATGGTGTTAATAAATACATTTCATAAACATTTCTTGTTTGTTACACTTGTCACTTTGGGTTCACATACTTTGGCCCATGAACTAAAATAATTTTCCATAGAAATTTGTCAACAAACAGCAGACAGTCCAAACTTGATTTATGGATCCTGCTAATGTTAGAGGTATGACAGAGTCAAAGATATGATATTCCTTGCACCTCCGAATGGCTCTCTCAATGTGAATCCTAAGCCTTGCAATCTCTTGATTTTCTTTCACTTCTCTGCGAGAAAACAGAAACAGAACCTGTGTACAAAGCACTGACAAAGCTAATCATGCCATCTGGTGTGATTCCAATGAGCCCTTTCATAGTCGAGTGAGACTTGTAGTGGGAATACATCTCAGAGTTTCTTGTCTTTGAACTTAGAGTTTGCACTCTGATCTCTGTACAGTCTAATATGACTCTGGTATTGGTATATGTGCTCTTAAAACACTCTGGCATAACTTTGTTGATAGCAGCTCTCTCTTGCCAAATAGGTAGCATCCCCAACATGACATACAAATAATTAGCCCAGGTGACCAAAATACGACTCACTGAACTGACGGATACATCAAACCTCACAGCTAAATCAATCTCAAAAAAGCCCTGTCTGATACGACATAAGAACATGAAACACTGATCGATTAATGGGATGGATTCATCTCTGAAAATGTCACTCTTTATTTGTGGATTTTCTGCATTAGAACTTCGATGTCTCTGAACTTGACTGCATCGCACCATATTTACAGCTGTTGGCTTCAGTGCATTGAAAGTTGAAATAAAATCATCATAGGTTCTAAATCCAGTGTAAAACTGTATCAAATCTTGGTCATGTGTGAATCGGTTTATAGCAAACCTTTTGGAGCACACAGCTGCAAGTTGGTCTTCTAATTTCTTTGTGTATTGTTTCAGTGATTCGAGCTGGTCAGCAGTACTAGTTGGTGGGTTGGCATAATCATGATCAGGCATAGGAGCTGGTGCAGTAGTTACATCCATGCTGCTGTGATCGGGTCCAGAAGAAATATCTGTGAGTTTGTCCTCATATGAATAGCTGAAATCAAAATAATATTGTAACTTGTACTTAATATTATTAACACCTAATTCAATAAGTGCAGTTATTTGGGGTACATGAATTTGTGACATACATTAAAAAATAATTTGTTATAAAAACTTCACTTAAAAACACTCTGAAATTAAAGAAGTGTTTGTACATTATTCTACCATGAATCAAGAAAATACTAGATTCTGATTGGTTGTTTAGAAAAATCAGACGGCATCAATTGTGGATTGACGCTCATCTGATTGTAAGGCCGCTTCACCGCGCATTAACAAATCTTATTGTGAGAACTACTTCCGTTTGACCACAATGATGGCGGATCATAACAACAACTCCATGGATTTTGACGCTGACTTTCGAATTTTCCACATAGGCAATTGGAAATTTTTGGATTAAAAATGCGTTTGATTTCATTGCGCTTCACTGCGCATGTATAGAACACTGCCGCACTACTTCAGCTTGACCACCAACATGACTAATATCAACACAACAGACGTGATGGAAATGCTGATAAAACATTTATTCAAACTCGAAAAATACAGTTATATGATTCCCCCCCCACACACACACACAATTATGAGGGAACCTCACTATCATATTACCTTCTATTATTAAAATATTCAAACTCAGTGTTACAATACACAGCCCCAAACATAAACAAAACAATATCTAACATATAAATCAGAAAGCCTTGTAAAAATACATCCCTATCAATACAAAATATGCAGCAAAACATTAGTAAACATTTACCTACCTGGTAAATGGTATATTTAATTCCGTTTAAAATGGGAAATTTGCAAGAAACACCACATTTATGCCACTCATAGTCATACTCCATCATATCCTGTTGCATCGTTCACAAAATAATTCTGCTCTCTGCCAGCTTTCCCGCAAGGTTGTCACTGTTATGTTCATCTACTTTGAAAAACGCTTGGACACAGTCCAGTCTCAAATGATGAAACAACGGTACATTCCAAGGAATCACAAGTTAGTCGCATGTACACTAAGCAGCAACACTGTCACTCTTTTGTCGCATGCCGGGGTGGAGGCAGTACGTGAAATCATGATCGGACGGTCATAAAAACAACAGTCTTTGTTGAGTTACAGGTCGTAGGTTGATCAGGAAAGGGTCTATTCTTCGATTCTGCAGGGTTCAGATTCGACAGTCAGTCAAGTATTGTCCACTGTCACTTCAAATTTCAACCTTTCGCAAAATGTAAACACTGGCTCGTCCGCCATTTCAAACTGTTACGTAACTGTCTACTTCGAAGAAAATAAGTAGGTCAGGCGATTCCATTATAGTGTGGCCAGGGGGGTACAGTTTCACGGCACACAAAGAATAGGCTGGTTTTAGTCGTGTGGAGTTGGGATGAGAAAAAAAGCAAGATCTCGGGTATTACATAATTGCATTGAATCAACAGTAGTTTGATTTCTTTAGACAGAATATTGTCATGTTGTAATGTTCAATTCGCCTCTCGTCCCATGCCGGATTACGCAGTGTCTTCCGCAGAGCGAGGAAGTTCGATTTTAAATGGGTCATGGTAGAATGGAGATAACCCTAGTGTGTTTGAAAATCAGAGAAATGCTTTACTGAATTGATGGCGACTAAATATTTCAATTTAAACCTCACACTACGCGCCATCAGTCGCCATCAATTCAGTAAAGCATGTCTCTGATTTTCAAACACACTAGGTTTATCTCGCGTGAGGTTTCAATTGAAATATTTAGTCGCCATCAATTCAGTAAAGCATGTCTCTGATTTTCAAACCCACTAGGTTTATCTCCTAATTAAATAAGGCAAAAAGTTTAGGTTTGTAATCAATCAAAAATCACATTTCAAAACTTGGAACTATAATTTAGACAGTTAAAAGTTTTTGAAATTTATATTTCCAACCAACCTTCTTGATCGCTTTCTAGGTGGCTGCTTCTCCTTCCAAGAGAAAATGGTTGGCACTGCTCCTTTCTTTAATCTGCGAATTCCTGTTAGGGTTCGCTGATATGAATCTTCAGTAAAATGTGTGGAACACACGAGTTGAGTCTGTTACCTGTATAAATTTCGAGAAAAAAAGTTCAATACAAAAGCATAAGATAGGACATATAAAAAATTATCATATCATATCTTAAACATTCATCCTACACTATTTATTCTTGAGAAAAGCATATCATATAAGCCTATCAAGTGCATCAATTTCTTCATGTTCTTTCAATTGATATGCTGCACCTCCATCTAACTTGAAATGCATATAGAATCCTATTATGATAATAATATTGGCAAAATTTCATTCCGAGATTCAGTAAGCTCTTCTCAAAATATTTTAAGATGGAACTTAAAATAGGCAATGATATAGCAAAAACATTCAAACGAATGAAAATATACTGTGTATCATTTAGGCCACATATAAACATTTTCTTGTTTAAAATTCCTCTCAACCCAAACATTATTTTTATTTTTCACACTATAGAAAAAGCATCTTTGGTTCACAAAATGTGCATGAAATTTTGACACTTCTATTTTCTGTTTTTCCATTTGGGAGCAGTAGAAGAAATCAAGGGTTTGGGGCTTAACCCCCTGGATGCCACAGGGACATATATGTCCTTCCCCTTCAACCCTCAATTTCAAGTCCAATAAAAATCAAAATATCCCATGCACACAAATACACTTCACAGTTTCGAATTCTGCGGGAAATTTCCTGTTTCTTGATACCATCCACTATTATTATAGACAAAGCTCAAGTGCTGAAAATGACCTTTCAAAATAGGCTTCATCGAAAATGTCGCCATTTTTGACACAGTACGAAATCTTGATTCACAGCGTTATTTGCTGTATGTTTTGAAATGTGAAAATCGGATAATTACTGGGAGTATTGAATTTAAAAAATAACATATTAATGAACACTGATATCACTTTTACATGAAATCGCTAATGATAATTCTGAAACGTTGCCGATGAATCTAGAATCGGTTGGGATGTTTTCGAAAATACACTTACACGAACGCCGTAGAGCGCTTTCCGCCATATTGGATAGTGTTTACAAAATCACGTTTCGCGAAGGCCGGTATTGCGACGCCTATTTCATCACGTATATTTCATATTCAGCTTCGAAAAATGCATCAATGAATTCCCCATACATTTCAGAATCTAGATAAAATGAGACGAAACATATTGGGTGTGAAAACGAACGCTGTGCTCGAAAGACTGCGCTGGTTCGAAATGTAAACAAAGACAAAAACCTATTTTACACTGTGTAGCATTTTCTGAAATTTTCCAACATTCATCCGTCCATTCATTGCTTGCAATGGCTCAATACCTTTGGAATATGCATGGAAAGAGTATCGTAGCAAGAAATAGGAAATTATAAATAGATACAATGCAATGATTTGATAATTCATAAAAAATTGTCAAAGTTTCCATGCAGCTGCGTGGCGCCATGACTGACGCAAAATCACGAGAACGACAACGTTTATTATCTGCATTTCTGGCTTTTTCTCTTACTTATAGTGAAAAGATAAAACATATAACAATACACAGATAGTCAGAATCATTCTGATTACTTACATCTCATATTTATGGACAAACGATCCCTGAATCAATAGAAGGGTCCTTGCAAAATCCTGTGTACCCTTGTCAGCAAAGCCGCCATTTTGTAAGAAATCGGTCAGCGGTAGTGATGTCATCACGTCAACATTGTTGTACATATTAGGCAATTTCTTTGAGGTGAAGGTCGGTTGAACAAGAGTAAACACAATCGCCCAATCCTTCCGATTACACTGTCAGTATTATGGTGTATTTTTATTATAGTTCAGATACTTTTTCATGAAACTGACTTCAGTATCCACATTTAGCCTTGTTCAATATCATATCATACGCGCGTATAGGGTTTACGGTGTTTTATTCTTTGAAAGTTTTTGATTGTTTGAATCATATTTACATAAGAAATTGACATATTTAGTGCAATACACCATATTCTAAACCTTTACACAAGTGTTAGAAGATCAAACGTAGCCATAACTGCAATTGCGTTAGTTCCTATGATGTAACAATATTCAATGCATTTGGACTAATATTGCAGTTTCACATGAACAGGTTAACGGCGATTTAATTCAACCTTATAAGTACAACTGATAATATTAATGAAAATGATTTATATATGGTATGAAATGTATATGCACACATATTTAAAGGAACCGTCTTGTGTGTCGGTTTATAGAGAAAACAATGATGTAAATTGATTGGCCAGGTGCGTGTTTGTCGGAAACGTTTTATGATTCATTATCATTGTTTTCGATAATATAATCAATTTATATTCGATTTAAAAATATTGTGATGACAGGATATCAAACTCTAACTATATTTATACGAAAATTGTTTAAAAATATATAAACCATGTCATGTCTTAATTTGGACAAATCTTACATCCATATTCTAATATATAGTACGTACTAGTTCCATATATAAAAAGCTATCATTTTGCATCTTCCATTGCATACTTATGAAGAGAAATAGCTACATAACCATAAACAAAGAAAATTCTTATCCTTAACAAAATATTCGGGTGTTGTGAAATGTTATTTTTCATTTACGTTAAATTGATGCCAAACAGGTGCGCGTGTTGCTCACAAAAAAATACACAGTCAAACTGTCTGATTGTTGATATATTCAAGACACTATTTAAATGGAAAAATCAGTCATTTTATGTTATGTTTATTTTATGTTTTGTCTAAAGAGGGTTAAATTCTGACATAGAAGCCGAGACCTTTCACACAATTAATGGAAATTAGGTGAGATATGTACCAATCAGCATACCAATGTCGTCTTTTTCCGACGTCGCAAAATGCATAAAAACAAGCAATGACGTCAACTAAAATGGTGTATTATTTTCAGCAATTTGTTTACATTTGAAGATATGGCTAGTACACTGGTAATAACGATGCAAAATTAGTCAAAATACATCTACACAAACAGGACAATATGGGAATCTAAGAACTAACTTATACTAGTATATCGAAGAAGGCCATCCAAATCGTTATGACGTGCTTTCACATGTAATACGTTGTCATCTTTTTTTATAAATTGTGAAACTACCAAAGCGTATCCTCTCATATTGAGGAACTTTGAATTGGAATAGTTTGGTTCACCGTAAACAAAAAATAACGAAAATATAGCGTCCGTATCTACAACAAATTCTCTCCATGTGATCTGAGTTACATTGACCTAGTGTTACGCATAACAGAGTTATGCACCCTTATCATTATACGTGTATGACTTCTCTGTCGTCGTTTGACGTCATAGAAGAAAATCCATTTTTGACATTTATTGCGAGTCATTTTTAATGTTGGGCCTATAATGTTATGCATAAGCACATAAACCCAATTCATATACACTTATGTCGTTCAGATATCAGGCTGGATTTTCTTCGCTCACACTTTCCGTAAAGATGCCAAATTAAAAAATTCGTAGCACAGTGCTTTTATCGGTGCGCGATAAAAAGCGGAAAAATGTACTGTTTTTTAAGGCATAACAAAAAATTTGACAACATTTAGCAAGGTCTATTTCTCAAACCGAGGAGGTAGTTGCACTTATATTTATACTAACGGACAGGAAAATTTAATATTCTACATTTCTGTGTAATTGTATAGCCGAACGTAGATCCAGGACCACGCGAGCCCAATTCTCGCACAACGTTCACTTTTCAAAGCGTATGAAAATGTGCGCCTGAAAAAAAACTCGGCAGCCAGGGGGTTAAAATGAAATAAAAAGTCAAAAAATTAAACCCGTCGGCCCGATCCATATTTTATAAATAGTGATGAGAAACAAGAGTATGTGGCCTCAGGCCCCTAAGTTAGGGGGGGAATTTAAATTCAATCATGTCTACTAGCCGAGAGCAGCGATGCGGTCAGCAGGGTCATGTCTTGACCGCATCGCGGCTCTCGGCTGGTTAACATACAAAAAAACAATGGAAATTAAAAAAACTGATCATAATGACTTTTTTCCTATATCAGAACTACAATTAAGACGGGTGAAACGATATGTTAACCTGACTATTTATTATTCCATTTGCTTTTCGGTACAGCCAAGCTGATCGTGCGCGAAAATCGAGCACCTTTGACTCAAGGCGACTGTCATATCATTTCATGTCTAACTTACCTTGAATAATGGCCCTTCGTCGCGTCTGATACTTATTATCCAGCGTTTGCGTAGGTCTTGATCCTTTGGGATATTATGGAATGACAGGTTGCTTCCAGACGGATAGCGGGAGTCGTTACTGCAGGTCGGCACACAGCAGTGTTGCGCCATTTCTGTTTGAATACCGAGCCTAGTTGTGAAGTTTTTTAGCGGGTTGCGTGATAGAGGCGTATTATTACGTTCAAGACTTATGCAAGTCTAACTGAACGGTTCCAGTTTGTTCGGATAGTCTTGACAATGGCGGATCTCACCTACAGACATGCTGAAAAGGATGATTGTGATGAGATATTGCGTCTTATAAAGGTCACAGCACATTAACTTCATATACTTGCATTGAGTATTACTTGCTTTTTAAGAGTCGTGTCAGGCCAATATTAGTCGCCAACATTCCCCCCAACAAACAACTTCCTCTTGTCAGCCAAGCTCGCTTGGTACTATTGGTATGATATTGCACCAGGGATTGAGTACACACAAACAGAAGTCATTTGTGCACCAAAAATATGCGTGACTGCTAATACAAAGTTCTATATTTTCGTTATAGTAGACGTTCATATGTGATTAATTTATTTACCTCAGGCTCAAAGGTGATAATTTCATTCATGTACACTCAGACTTATCCTCATGCCTTTCATTAACATATACATTGTACGAAAATCTCACAGCCTTACCAAAAACACTTTCATTTTGCTGTGACTGTGAAAAATGAAAATATTTTATTTTGCATGTGGTTTGTAAGTGGTTGGAGCTAGAGTGCACTTTACCTGGCTGCTCGCTGCGGGTCAGTTATCGTGCTATAGCGCTACCACGCTGTCTCGCTATATCGCGGTAATTGCTTCATCTCCCATCACTTGCCAGTCAACCACCCTTAGGGTTTCGATCCTTAGGGAGCTGATGCATCTTTAGAGTCCAACAACCCTTTACGATCCTCAGGGTTTAGGGTTAGGGTATGGCACCCTTTACGATCCTTAGGGTTAGGGAACCTTTTGCGATCCTTAGGGTTAGGGTATGCAACCTTTACGATCTTTAGGGTTAGGGAACCCCTACGATCCTTAGGGTTTAGGGATAGCACCCTTTCCAATCCTTAGGTTTAGGGTTGGGAGTGGGGTAGGTTTTTGGAACCTTTTTGATTCCTAAGGGTTAGGGACCCTTTCCGATCCTTATTTAGGGTTTGACCTTACCTTAGGGCAGTGTAATCTTATTATATCCAATTGAAACACATTTCGATCCATCCGGTACTTGATAATACAGTCCAAGAAATAATGGCGCAAAAAAAAATGAATGGGAAGGTGTGGCACAGTGAGGCGGAAGCTCAATGGTTTGTTTACATATCTCGCGCTTCCGCCTCCCTATGTGCAGATGACCCAAGAAAAGAGCACTCATTAACTGTGATGGTGCTCGTGGTCCTGAGGTAGAGCGTCCGCTAATTACGTCACTAATTAACGAAGTCAGTAATCTGGCGAAGCAGCACTAAATAATCTGAAGAAGTGCACCCGGTAAAGTGCACTACTCCAGTGGTAGGCTTTATATGAGATCATTTACCTACTTAATATAGTGGGATACTATTTTTCTGTTTATTGTTCAGTACTCATATCCTATGCAAGGGGTACTGGCTAGGAAACAGTTATCGCCAATACATTGATATCACACGTGCACAGTTCCGGTCAATTACAATTCCAGTATTTTTTCCACATGGTATTTGACAACAATAAAGGACAGCAAAAGAAAATTCTTCACGATAAGTAACATGAGAGAAAAATTAAAGATAAGGTAATGAGCCTTATAACAAAATTTTAACTTAGTCAATGGGGAAGTGAGATGAATAGGCCTTATAACAAAATTTTAACTTAATTAGGAAGTCCCGTGACCTATATAATAGCAAATTCAAGTTCACAAGTCTTTGTTTCATTCCCTATCAATCTGCTTTAAAACAAACACTCAAATAGTCACACAATCAATTATTCGAGGTTACTGAATGATATAAATATATATATTATTTCACGAATGGCATGAGAAATTCTAAATGACGATAACTGTTACAGTTAGTTGTGAGAAAACATCTATTTATACTGCCATGATTCCCTTCCGCCGCGTTATATGAAAACATGATCAGTGGCAGTGAACGGGACGGACACATCTTTGAATAGCTAATTAAGTATCATGATTAATTTTGTTTTATTAATTTAATGAACGGCCGAGTAATTGTTTAAATACCGCTAGATATGGCAATAACTGTTTGGAAGCCAGTACTGGCTAGTGAAACAGTTATCGCCGCCTAACAGTTATCGCCAATACATCAATATCACACGTGCGCAGTTCCGGTCAATTACAATTCAGGTATTTTTTCCCCATGGTATTTGACAACAATATAGGACAGCAAAATATAATTCTTCAAAGTGAGTAACATAAGAGAAAAAAATAAAGATAAAGTTATGAACCCGATAAAAAAAATTAAAACTTAGTCGGGGTGGGGGGTGGGGTGGGGGTGGGTGGCCCACTACCTATGTAATAGCAAGTTCAAGTGCACAGTCATTAATTGTTTCATCCCCAATCAATCTACTGTAAAAGAAACACTCAAATAGTCACACAATCAATCATTCATGGTTACTGTATAATATACAGGAATGAGAATTTTTCATGGATCCGCGGAATTCCGGGAATTTCATAAGGCCAAGGCTCATTTTTGTGAATCGTCTAAATCTGTAGACAATTGTTTGAATGTGCTTCAGCAGATTTAAAGTTTTTTAATGGTTGCTGTTTTCATATTGTCATTTCTGAGCCAGTTTTAAAGGTCTTAAATGCCTAAATATCAGGAGCTTCGGCTAGTTTTCAGAGTTTTTCTCAAAACTTCATTCTCATCCCTGGATATAAATATATATATTATTTCACGATTGGCATGAGAAATTCTAAATGGCGATCACTGTTACAGTTAGTTGTGAGAAAACATCTATTTATACTGCCATGATTCCCTTCCGCTGCGTTATAAGAAAACATGATCGGCGGCAGTGAACAGGCTGGACACAATTTTGTTTCTTTAATTTAATGCACGGCGGAGTAATTTTGTAAATATCGCTCAAATATGGCGATAACTGTTCGGTTGCCAGTACAATACACTGCAATGAATATGATCAGTCAGATCTTATCATGAAGTACACAAACCATCAATATCTTAATCCATTTAACTTTATCATTGTGTTACATGAGAAGGTTTAATATATATATATATATATATATGAGATATTCCATCGTAATAAGTTCTCTCACACAGAAGACATGATCTGACCCTGCCCTTTGTCTGTCCCATCAGGAAGAACGAGCAGTCCATTACTCCGAAGGGAAATATTAAATTGGTCTGTGGTCAAAGAGGATATATTACTATCATGTTTGAAAAATAGTTGGCTTACTTTCGGTTATCAATAGCAGCTTTTTAGGAATTTTAATATCAGATTTTTGCATCTAATATTTTTTTTTTTTGTTCAACCTTCAATGTCGGAGGTGAGGTGAGGTGAAATTGGGTTTAACGTCGTGCTTGAGTGTATTTCGCTCATATGACGACATGCATGCGTGTGTATGTGTATGTGCGGCTGCTTGTACTAGCCCAGACTGAAGCTGGATTTATAGTGCTAGCCCACTGAAATACCATGCCGCAGTGAAGCATGAATACCCCACTCAGACACATTATACTGACTCCGAGCCGACCAGTCCTTGATGTACCCATTAATGCCGAGCGCCAGGTAGGGACCAACAAGTACCATATTTTAACGTCTTTTGGTATGATGCGGTCGGGATCGAACCCGAGACCTTCCGCTCTCCGGGCGGTTCAATGATGGAAGAGGCTTGGTTATGTTATCATACATGTGTAACTCCAGGAAGCATCTGTGTATGAATAGCACACATGAAGACCCCTCTCTTTCTTAGTTTGCTTTTTTTTCCGAAAAGGAAAATGCCTATCATGTAAAGTCAGTGTGCGAAATAGCCACTGGCCCACTAGCCCATGGCTAGTAAATATTCAGTCGGGCCAGTAAATCTCCACAGTCACTGGGCTGACTGGCTAGAAAATTTTCATGGGGTCGTTTGTGAATATATCACTCTCTACGACTTGTTAAAGAACCACTAAACTTTGTTTTGTTACCTGAAAGATTTGTGGTTAGTCTTATCGCGGAACACCAAATTTATTCTTTAAAAACTTGTGGTTAATTAATACCGGCGATTAAAAGTGGCCAAAAATTAAGCCTGCTTCCCTCTCGCCAAACGAAACCACAGACAGGTTACGTAACTCTGTCGCCAGAGCACTGCAGTGGCGTCATATGAGGAGCGATTTTCAGTTAGTTGTATAGAAAATGTGTAGCACGCTCATCATTTTGATGATTTCTCGACATCAACGGCGACATGCGAAATCGTTGCTTTGTCGTCAATTGCTCCTAGGGTCGGGCGATGGTGTCCCCATGCACAGATTTCCACAGGACCCGCGGTTAAATGCTAAATGGGTTATGTTTGTGAGTCTTGGCGGCGTTGTGGAAGCCTGAAGCGATATCTTACTTGTGTTCAGATCGCTTCTTCGGAAGTTAAAGAATCAAAACTACTTACTAGTTGTAGTAAAATATGCATATGATTGATGACCATAAAGATTTTCTATGACACAACTTGTAACATAGCGATTTCTTCCTCGGAAGTGAGGTTGTGGTCGAGAAGTAACAATAATATTGTAAGTAGTATTATATTGACACCCACCTGGCTGCCACGAGAAATTGTTATTATGATATCGCTATGTCATGCAAAATCCTATTGGCCATCAATAAAATACATATTTTACTACCAGTAGAAAGTAGTTTTGATTTTATAACTTCGGTGAAAACAAACCTAAATACCATTTATCCTCAGACTGGCGGATGTTCCCGAAAGGGCGCCGCCATTTTAAAAATAAAAAATCTGTTAGAATTAATGAGATTATAGTTTGTTTTCATCAAGTTAGAAAATCAAGACTACTTTCTACTCGTTGTTAAATATGTATTGGAATCATAACCAAGCGGATGTTGCATGACACAACTTATAACATAACGATTTCTTCCACGGAGGCGAGGTGGGGTTGAAGTCACAATACTGCGCGATAAATTTCTTGCTACATTCCCATGGTTAATGTCCACTCACCAGTATGTAGATACTAGTCAATGTGCGTCTTTATATTTGGTCTTATATTCCTAATTAGTTTATTATCACACTTGTATGCATTTTGAAACTAAATAAAAGCAGACGATCTGCTGATACTTATAGTGAATTTATAACAGAACTGTAATATCTAGACATTT